TACATTAGGCCCAATTTCAAAGTAGCTCAGGGTGACAGTCTTGGGAGTTTTTCTATTGGTCCAGTAAGTCTTTTTTTTTTTACAGAATTTTAATTTTATACATTTTTCTTCTGTTCTATCCCAGACCTTCTATTGTGTCCCTTGTCAGAATGGTTGGTAGCGATAGCCTAGAACCATCTCATTACAGATCACAATGTGAGACACACTAATTAAACACCAACACTTGCATTTAACTGGTCACTTTTAAGTATTACTAGACCTAGCAAGATTTCCAACAGAAGGTAAACTCTTTCCTGCTTTGAAGAGTAAATACATTCAGATCTCGGAGGTCTTGTAAGACAAAGTTAAATCAGAAAGCAGCAGTGATATAAGTGTTTCTAAGCCACAGTGGTTTTAAGCAATTCTGAGTTAAAAATATTGCTCCCAAACAGGAGAATGAGGTTTAACATGGCCTAAAAGTGAGACAAGAATAGCAATCATCAACCTTTCTTTTCACCTTTAAAGCCCTGAAATAATTGCTGCTTAGGAACTAAGCCATCACTGTGGTTTACCCTCAAGCACTCCTTGGTGAGGAGAAAAATCAAAAATTCAAGGAAGTGCCATTATTCCTCTGAAAAGATTCAAAGACAATGGATAATTGACACAACACTAACTTTCTGGTTCCTTATATACATCCCTCACTATGCTTTAAATTACGGGTTCCCAAACTGATTTGGCTTACCTCCCCCTTTTCAGAGGAAAAAAAAAAAATTACTCAGCTCCCCAACCCCTGGCCATTAGAGATTTTGTACTAAAGTCCATAATCCAGGATAAACTATATTGTTGTTGTGAAGGGCTGTAAAGTCAGTTTTGACTCGTAGAGACTCTACAACAGAATGAAACTGCGCCATCCTCACAACTGTTGCTGTTTGAGCCCACTGTTACAGCCACAGTGTCAATCCCTTCTGTAGAGGGTCTTCCTCTGACACTGCCCCTACACTTTACCACCCATGATCCAGATAACATGTCCAAAATACGAGAGACAAAGTCTCACCATCCTTGCCTCTAAGAAGCATTCTGGTTGTTTGCTCATTTTGCAGTCCGTGGTACTTTCAATATTCTTTTCAAGCACTATAATTTAACTTCATCAATTCTTCTGCAATCTACTTTATTGGATGTCCAACTTTCACATTTATATACAGCAATCAAAAATACCATCCTTTATGCACTTTAGTCTTATGAACTTTAGTCCTCAAAGCGATACCCCTACTTTTCAATACTTTACAGAGGTCTTGTGCAGTAGATTTACCTAATGTAATGAATGAGTTATTTAACCTTTTGGCTGCTATTTCCATGAGTACTGATTGTGGATCCAAGCAAGGTTAAGTATAGGTGTCTGCTTTTGCAGCTTCCCTGGTTTGTGCCAATCTCTCCCAGGGGGAGTATTGCCCACTTTGGGAACACTGCTTTAAAATCAAGTAAATTCACTCACTGAAGTAGAAAACCGAGCCTCCTCTAACATCCTTCCCCTCAGCCTTTTTTTTTTTTTTTAATTTAAAAAGTCTGCCCTTTAGAGTGAAGGTACCAAAGAAATATTTCTTACACTGTAACTTCCTCTACCACCTGAAATAAGCCACACTAAGTAGATGTGTATGACATGCAAAATTATATATTTTTTAATGGCCTCCTCCAAACAGAAACAATTTCTTCCAGTCATATATCTATACCCTAAAGATTGTTGTTGAAGTTTCTCTCCACTAAAGAACAGGGCTTTTCCTCACCGGTAAAGGCCAACAAACAGACCTTGAACTATTTATGGGCTTTTCCACTTTTGTCAGTGGCTTTTGTTCTGTTGTTGTTATTTTGGTTTTTGCTTTTTTAGTTATTATTTTGTTGGATTTGGCTTCCTTTGTTGTTTTGTTTGGCTTTTCCTAGTTTTTACGATTATTAATGTCTCTGCATGTCTATCTAGATAAGATAGGTGGGATAAACAATTTGGAGTTAAAAAGAACGGGACCAATGGTTCCGGGAGGAGTAGGGGTGGTGGGAGGAAAGAAGAGGGGTGTGTGTGTGTGGGAGGAATCAACCCAGAACAGGGAACAAGTGAACTGAAATCAATGGAGAGAAGGGTGTAAGATGCCTAGGGCAATCAAGGGCACTGTAGCAGGAAGGAATTGCTAAACCCATTTGAAGCCCGAACATGATGGTGGGACAAGAGGAAAGTAAAAGGAAATAGACGAAAGAACCAGGAGGCTAAGAACATTTATAGAGGCCTAAATACAGGCATGTACATATGTAAATATATTTATATATAACAAGGGGGGAATAGATCTATGTACTTATAGCTATATGTTAAGAATTAAGGTTGCAGATGGACATTGTGCCTCGACTCAAGTTCTCCCTCAACATAAGAACACTCTGTTCTAATAATCTGGAATTCTGTGATGCTCACCTTCCTGACACGATCACTGAGGACAAAATGGGTACAAAAGTAAATGTGGTGAAGAAAGCTGATGGTGCCCAGCTATCAAAAGAGATAGCATCTGGGATCTTAAAGGCTTGAAGGTAAAAAAGCAGCCATCTAGCTGAAAAGCAACAAAGTCCACATGGAAGAAGCACACCAACCTGTGTGATCATGAGGTGTCCATGGGATCAGGTATCAGGCATCTAATATCCAGAACAAAATCATACCCTATGTGAATGGGGGTGGGGAGGGAGGTATGAAGTGGAGACCCACAGCTCATCTGTAGACAACTGGATATCCCCTTACAGAGGGTCACAAGGAAGTGACAGCACTGATGAAACACTCAAGTTTCCTCTAGTTCTTTAATCCTTCCTTCCCCCATCATGACCTCAATTCTACCTTACAAATCGGATTAGACCAGAACATGCACACTGCCACAGATAAGAGTCCACAACACAGGGAATCCAGGATAAAACCCTCAGGGCTGACAATGAGAATAGAGATACCAGGAGGTAATTAGGGGAAGGTTGTGGGAGAAAGGGGGAATCATTCGCAAGGATCAACATATAACCCCCTCCCAGAGTGACGAACAACAGAAAAGTAGGTGAAGGGCGACAGAGGGCAATGTAAGCTATAAAAACAATAATCTAGGTTGCCGATTAGGAAACTCCGGGCTTCCGCAGCCCTCTTTTTTCCAGGCTGCCGGGAAGAGGGTGGACATTCAGACAGAGAGTGCCTACCAAAAACAGCCGACCATCTTCCAAAACAAGAAGAGGATCCTCTTGGGGGAAACTGGCAAGGAGAAGCTCCCCAGTTACTATAAGAACATTGGCCTGGGCTTCAAGACACCCAAGGAGGCCATTGAGGGCACCCACATTGACAAGAAATGCCCCTTCACCGGCAACGTCTCTATCCGAGGGTGTATTCTGTCTGGGGTGGTGACCAAGATGAAGATGCAAAGGGCCATTGTCATCCGCCGAGACTACCTGCACTACAACCGCTTTGAGAAGCGCCACAAGAACATGTCTGTGCACCTGTCCCCCTGCTTCAGGGACCTCCAGATCGGCGACATCGTCACCGACCCCTGAGCAAGACCGTGCGCTTCTACGTGCTCAAGGTCACCAAGGCTGCGGGCACCAAGAAGCAGTTCCAGAAGTTCTGAGCCGCCAGCCTCCTAAGGAAATAAATTTTATTTTTGGTCTCAAAAAAAAAATCTATACCTTATCAAGGGTTCATGAGGGAGGGAAGGTGGGAGAGTGAGGGGGGGAAATGAGAAGCTGATATTAAGGGCTCAAGTAGAAAGAAAACGCTTTGAAAATGATAATGGCAGTATACATGCAAATGTGCTTGACACAATGGATGAATGTATGGATTGTGATAAGAGATGTAAGAGCCCCAATAAAAGTACTTAATAACAAAAAGGAAAGAAAAGGGCTTTTCCTGTCTGTTTCTAAAGGAAGATAACGCTAGATTGTCAATGGCTGATCCATGGTTGATCATCCCCATCTCTGATCTGTCACTGTACAGTGCATACAGCATATTACTAAGTATGCATATAGAGATGCTGTTGAATCAGTTCTGACTTACAGCAACCCTATGTACAACAGACTGAAATACCGCCCCAGTCCTGCACCATCCTTGCAATTGTTATATTTGAGTGGGCCTGTTGTTTCAGCCACTGTGTTAATATATCTCTTAAGTGTCTTCCTCTTTTCCACTGGCTTTTTAGTTTAACCAGCATGATGTCATTCTCTAGGGACTGATCTCTCCTGAGAACATGTCCAAAGTAGGTGAGATGAAGTACTGTTATCCTTGCCTCTAAGGAGCATTCTGGCAGTATTTTTCCCAAGAGAGATGTTTGTTCTATTGGCAGTCATGGTATTTTTAATATTCGTCACCAGCACCATAATTCAAATTAATTGATTCTTTTTCAGACTTTTTCAATATCCAACTTTCACATATGTGGCATATGAGGCAACCAAAAATACCATGGCTTGGGGAAGGTTCACCTTAGTCTTCAAAGTGACACCCTTGTTGCCTCTTTTATCAAACCATTTTCTTTTGTCATACTGGCCAGAGAAGGAAATGGAGGAAACTACACAGGAAACACTAAGGTTTGATATGAGAGTCAAAACACATGCAACATTTTAGTGAGATAAGTAAGATACCTGTGCTTGTGGAGAAGAAGAACCAGGAGCCATATATAGCACAGAATCATACCACACACTTCTGTCATAGCAAAGGCCCATGGGATTCTAGGAACACTGGAACAGAAAGAAAAATATGAGATTTTGAATTAAGTATACATATATAAACCCTTTTCAGTAAAATATTCTTCTAAAATATCCTTAAATGTGTTTATAGAATTTTTACTGTTTTTAGGGGATGGTATTTTAAGAAACTGGAAGGGGTGGGATTCATAAAGTATACCATTTATCAGAGTCTGTTTGTTTCAGAGATAATGGAAGAAACACACACTTCTTATATGGTGTGCTCATTTCAAAATTCAGACAATCAGGGGACTTAAACTCAATTGCTCTCTATTATATTTGGTTTTGTTGTAGAAGCAAAGAATTGAGAGAAAAAAATTTTTAATTCCTTTTTCTCTGTCCTTTGTCTTTTATCCCTGTTTCCTTGCACCACTTGCACCCGTCCCTCTTCTCACCTCACTCAATCCATAGCTCCTGTGGTGTGTGACTAGATGGAAAGATGTGCCGCATTTGAGAGAGAGAGAAGACAGAGAAAGAGATATGCAAATGAAATAGGCCAATTAGTTCATTACTAGGGGGTAAGATTACTGGTAGTTCTATTTTTACTCTTGGTACTTCTCTACTAAAAGCATACAATGAGTATCTATTATTCTGGTAACTAGGAAGGCAGTTATTTTTTTCAAAGAAAGCATTAGATCTGAGAAAAAACCCAAACTATTCAGAGTCTATTCTAAACCTTACCCAGAATAAATGAGGACAATAAATCAGCCTCATCAGGGACTAATCTTGTACCTATTATTCCAGTAGGAAAGACTCACCTTATGTACTTCTAACTTATTGCTGCCTATTTACGTGGCATTACTGGGAAAAGGATTATTTGGCATAGTAGAAAATTTCTGGTTAAGAATCAAGATTCCTTTCAATGACTGCTGAAAACGTAAACTTTAAAACTAAATTTAATTTGTATTTATAAATAAATACATTAGACAATATGTACACCAGACTGAAGCACTGTCTGATCCTATGAATCCTCACAATCAGTGCTATATTTGAGCTCATTGCTGCAGCCACTGTGTCAATCCATCTCATAAGAGAGTCTTCCTCTTTTATGCTGATCCTCTGTCAGGCATGTCTAAAGCATATGAGACAAAGTTTCACCATCCTTGTTTCTGTTTTTTGGTAAGAGTTTTATTAACACTTCATCCATATATCATCCAATTCAATAATTCATATCAAGGAGAGTTGTACAATTATCACATTAAATTCTAAAAAAATTTCTTCTTCCTTTTACTCATGGTTATTTGTGCATAATTTTTCTAATTGTGGCAAAAATAGACACAACAAAACATTCTCTTCTAGAGAATATTTAGGCTGTATTTTCCTCCAACACAGATTTCCTCATTCTTCTGTCAGTCCACGGTATGTTTAATATTCCTTGCCAACACTATAATTCAAAGGCATCAACTTTTCTCCAGTGCTCCTTATTCTTAATGAAATATGCAAAGTTACACAACAATGTTTCTCAAGCTGAAATAACAGTAATTCAAGTCCCGAGTTATAATTCTGAATATTCTATAGGCAAAATGTGAACAATACTACAAGAATCAAAGTAAGGAATTGCACCCAATCTGATCCCGCCACACCAAGGCAAAGCACTGGGGGA